GGTGTAATGCTAATTTTTATTAACGCACCAACACTTTGTGTCAATGTAAATTTTTATTAACGCACCATTACTTTGTGTCAGTGTGAACCATCAAAATATTGGTGCATATCTTTGGTGTACAAATGGGATACAAATTTTGGGTACATGTATCATGCTCCTTAAAAAAACAATCGGCGATCACACTTGTCAAACCACGGTATGTGAAGATAAACAATCTGCATATGATATAAGTGGCCGTTGACTTTTTTGGAATAAGTTCAAAGGATACCTTCTCTCCAAAAGATGTTCTGGTTTTGATTTTAAAAAATTTAAAGAAAAGAAAATTGGTGTTGAATTTTTAAAAATATCTTTGATGAAATGAGTAAAAATAGAATGTGATGTATACGTTATTAGTAAAAAAAGTATCATATGCTATATAGGTTAAAAATTAATGAAGGTAAAAGTGATTTTTTAATAAAAATAGAATACATTTTGTGGGACATGTAAAAAAAGAAAGGAGAATGAGTTTTTTGAGACAGATGAATATTTAATTATGTTTTATATTGTTATTTACTCTGTATTTTCTCCATTCCACAAAACAATTCCACTTACACATCCTAAATATCATACCCCCTCTGCTCCTGATTATTTGTCCATTTTTTACTTTCTTCGGTCAAAATTTGTAAAGTTTGACCTCAAATTAAATGAAAATTATATCATATATTGATACAAAATAGTTTTATTAGATTTATTTCATCAAAGATTTTCAAAATATTATTTTATTTAATTAATATAAAATATCTATTTAATTTAATTATAGGTCAAAGGTTCAAAACAATTGATCGAAAAAAGTCAAAAATAGAAAAATATCCAGGGACGGAGGTAGTAAAACATTTTTTTTCTTTTCATTAAAAAGTCACTTCTATCGCTATTAATTTTCAACCTACTTATCTCATCATATCTATCACTATTTTTATCTATATATATCACTTCATATCTTGCCATACGTTAAAATGATGAGTGCAAAATTTGAAACTAACGCCAACATTACACATTCATTAAATTTTACTTTTTTCTAAAAATGAAGAGTTTTATGGGATGAATGAAGTATTTTAAGATGTTTTGGGTTTTCTCTTTGAACTTAAAATGCTATCTCTTTCTTCCGGTGCATGTCTAATCTTGACTTTTTATTGTTGAAAATGACAAATTTTAAAAATTAATTAAATAAAATTTGTATTGAATATTGATACAAAATAATTTTATTAAAATCATCATGTAAAATATTTTTTAAATATTTCTTATCTAATTAATATACCAAAGAGCTTTTATTTAGCTATAGCTCAAAGGTTGATCCCAATTCACTATAAAAAGTTAAAATTGGACAAACACTCTAGAATGAAGGGAGAAAAAAATGAGTAATTATTAATTTATTTTTAATTAAATATTATTGTATTTTCAAAGTTTATTTCACTCAATCCAAATTAAAGCCTATAAAATTATTATTATTTTTGGATGAGATTAATGCAAGGGAGAGAAAATTAATGTGAACCAAACAATTTACTACTCGGTATATTTCTTGATAAAAATGAGAAGGTTATTTCCAGACAACCAAAAAGGAAAAGAGTATCGCTTATTTTAGCCTTATTAGAGAACATCATTTTCGATTAGCGTTATTGATGGTGTAAAACCACGCAAATACTAAGTCTAAATAGAAGAAAGGGATGTAAGTGAGAACACCTGTAACCCGGTTTGTTATTAATAATATTGGGACTGTTTACAAGCTTACAAGCCGTGTGGATTAATTAAAGCATGCCTCCTTAATGAGGCTTTTCCGCTATTTATAAGAATAACAAGCAGGTCTCAACATTACTGTTCAATCGGCCGGTCAGTCTTCGATCGGAAAGTTTACGTATCTTCAACGGATGAAGCCACTCTTTCAATTCTGAACTCTTTCATATCCGCCCGGTTAGACTGCACGGGTTGACTCGGTCTCGAGGGGTCAGACTTAGGTACCTCCCATGTGGTTGCGATCCTGCTGGGTGGTATCAATGGGTTATACCCATCAAGGAGTCCTTCGATTCACGGCTCTGTGGGCACCATCAGGGCGGGAAGCAAATAGCTGAGCAATGTTTGGAACTTCGAATTTTCCGGGCGCAGTTGGCGGGAAATTTTTTTTTGAAAATTGGTGCCAAATATTTTTGAATTTTGAAATCCCGGGTGCGGATGGCAGGCAAAATTCTATAGAAATCTGGTATGACGCCGCTGAGTAGTCGCATCATTTCCCATTCCCGAGAGGTTATCATTACTAATCATTCCGGCTGTCACACATCGTTTCCTTATTGGGTCTGCTACGCGGCACATTCCCTATATAAGCCGAGGTTCCCCACCGATTTTCTTCATTGCAACTTGCTATCCAAAAAACTGCCCGGTCGAATCAACTATTTCTTGAGTCCTCCGAGTCTTCTTCGTTCCAAGTAAGTGTTCTTCCCCCTTCTTCATCATGTCTGAGAACGAGGACAGCCAGAACCCCTCCATCCATTCCTATGGTTCTGGTGCCCGGTCCCAGGCCTCGAGTTCCCATTCCTCTTCTTCTTCTGAGTTAAGTCAGCGCCCGACCACCTCTACTCCTTCTTCGTCCGCGGCTCAGATGGTCACCGTAGCCCGACCCGTGGATGAGGGCTTTATCTCGATGGATGACCGGTTGCTCCAAGAGCTCTAGTCAACCATTCAAAAAGCTCAAGTCCACGAGCTTCGTAACCTCCTGCCGGAGGGTTACCAGCTGTCATACCGGGCTACGTGGAGGAACATCATGTCCGTCCACACCGGTACGACCATAGGGACCCACTACCATTCCATCAAGGGCTTAGGTGGATTCCTCGTCCGACCCTTCAAAGTCCATTTCTTCGAGTCCTATGGCATTATGCCCGGGCAGTTTGCCCCAAATGGTCACCGTATGCTGAGTAGCTTCATAAATGTGTGTCGGTTTCTTCGTATTCCCTTCTCCCTCTGTCTTTTTGATCACATGTTTAACGCCTGGCCCGGGTCCATGGAAACCCTTGGATTTGTGGTTGTGTCTTCCCACGAGGGTCGGGCTTTCCTTTCCGGTCCCCCCCTTCAAATAAGGGGTGGAAAGGAAAGTATGTCGCAATCAAGTTTCCCCCGGGCGAGTTTCCTTTCACCTAGAATGACTGGGGGGGAAACTCAAAGTCCAGGGCAAACTTGGAAAATCCGAAGACTTGGCCGGTTAGGAAGCCACGCTCCGGGCCGGGGACACTTCCACTCGCGGCCCCTTCAATGTGGGGAAATCGAGTGTCAACCCAAGGCTGGAGACTGAACCTGAGGCCGTCATTGTCCCAGGAGATGAGATCCCAGAGGCGATTCCTCTCAGTTGCGTCCCCCACTCTACCGCTGTCAATCTCTCTCGCCGGGGGGAAGAAGAATGAAAAAGGTCCCTTCCCTTTTCTTTTCCTTAAAAATTTCATTGTCTTGGTTGTTCTTCTGTAGTGACCTCTTGATGATTGAGTTTTTCGGTAAGTCAACCTTCCCAATGAAGGGTCAGTTTTCTCCGAGTGTCGTGTCTCTCGAGGAGTGGAAGAAGGGAATTAGCTAATTTTTCTAAATAGACGAAGGTTTGGACAAGTCTGAAAGTCTTCTCGATTTGATTTGAAAATAAACTAAAGTAAACTACTGGATGTTTTTGAGAAAAAGAAAATAAATAGTACGGGTATAGGACTAGATTTTGGGCCAAGGCATCATCTGAGTTAACTACTGTTGTCACATATTTAATCAATAATTGGAATAATAATATTTCTGTCACAAATATTTCATTAACTTATCCTCTCTCAAGGCAACATTAATGTGTTCTAAAAAGTTTGGCTTAATAAATTTTATATCCTCATAGACAAGGCAAAAACTAATTTCCAATAATTAATTAATTTTTCTCTCGACATAACTAATTAATTTAACAATAAAAATAATTCTAGAACAATTATTCCAACTATTAAATAAACATACAGAGTATATGCCCAAATTTAGCCAAGATCCTAATCTGGGCCCTAACCCATACTAGATATCAACAGTGCATAAAATAAAAGAACATTTTATTAAAAGTTGTAAAAATAAACTTACAACCAAGAGCAGAGTCGGAGCCACTTTAGGACAACCGGAACAAAATTAAACTAAAATATTAAAATATAACTGAGAAAAGAGCGGAGAATGGAGCTCCGGGCCTTAAAGACCCGGAAGAAGACCTGATTAGAATGAAGGGGCGAAGCCCTCCTTTTATAGGAGAAATTTTCAGTCCAGGTCTCTGACAGGCGTGGGCCTGAGGTCCAGGCGCACGCCTGAATTAGTGGAGAATGCGGCTACCTTGGATTTGCACACAACTTCCTCCTTGTTGCGTCAAATTTCATTTTCTAATCTTTTCATTTTTTTAAAATTGAAGATGGTGTTGACGGCTGCGGCTGAAAATAATTGCTGCTGCTGCACAGTTTGCCGGCCAGCCAGGTCGCGCCACGTAGCAGCACCTGGTTGGCCGGATTTTGATCCGGTACGAAAATATTTTCTAAAAATACACACTTGCTCAAAATTTTATTCTGAACAACTTTTCCTTCTGTGCCGACTTCATATTCCGAACCAATTTGGGTCAAACAAATTAATTTTGAATCAATTCAATTTTGTTCTTTCCAAACAATTTCTTTTTGGTGCTTTTTCAATCCGATTGACCTCAAATCTTTTGACGGGGTTCACTCCCACATTTGAATGCACATTTTTCACTTCAAGGATTTTCACCATCTTTTGCTCCTTTGCTCCGTTGCACTCCATTTGCACAATCTTTTACACTTTTTGTACCACTTTTGACTCAATTTTTATTCTATTTAAAATTAGACATAACTTTTGTGCACTTTTTCAATTATAAATAAAAACTTATAAAAACCATTGAGAAATTGATTTGTTTAATCCAAAATTGGACAACAACACGTTAAATATAGAGAAGATAAGTGCGTACAAAACGGACTTATCACCTCTCCTTTCTTTTTTTACAGTGGTGAAATTCCACTCCAAATTCATTATCCCCGACATCGAAGAGATCGAGGGGACTGCAGCTCTCAACCCTCAACCCCTCACCCAGCAGCCGGCCCAAGATGAACAGCCGGCTCAGTCCTAGCAGGGGACCAATGTCCCCCTCCAGTCTGGGGATCTCAATATTGACATAGAGACTCTGGAGTTTGACAACATGCTCGGGCAGACCGGGCATACGTCCGATTCCGGGCAGTGGAAGAGGCAGAGGAAGAAGTCCATCAGCCCGTTGGCGCAGTCCTCCGACACCGGAAAAGGCCAGGGTGAGCCCCGAGCTATGGTACTCATGGCCCGGTCGGACGAGTAGCTCTTCGAGGCTTTCTATGTCGACCGGAACGAGGTAAGCCCCCATCTTTCTATATTTTCTTTTCATGTTAGCTTTGCAATAGGTTCCTGAAAATTTTCATCTCTTTAAAGCACGTCGGCCAGATCGGGCAAGAGTGGGCCACCCGGCTTTTGAAGTCGAAGTCATATGAGAAGAGTCGGATGGAGGTGATGATGGTTGTCTGCCAGAAGGAAGCTGAGGCAGCCCGGCTGAAGGCTTCCAAGATGGAGGAGAAGCTCCTAGAGCAATCAAAGGCCTTCTGGGTTCTATACGCCAAGCACAACAGATTGCTGAAGGCCGCTAAGGAGGCCGATGACCAGGCTCAGGAGAAGATCGCAGAGCTGGAGGAGAAGGCCGCCCGGTCGGAGGAGGATATCGCCAAGGTGAGGGCAGAGCTGGAGAAAGAGTGAAGCAACCGGGCCTTGCATGCTGCTACATGGGCAGCCTAGGAGCCAGAGCAGTTCGTCGCCCAGGCGCTTCCCGATCGGGAGACCGGAATTCGGTTCTTCCAAGGGATCTATAAGTCTCCCAGGGGATCATCGACGAAATCGGGACCTTTGGCTTTGAGTCTGGGCACTATCGGGAGCGCTTGGGGCTCTAGGCGGATCCAAGACTTTGAATCCAAGGTCTTCTCCCTCCCTGAGCTACATATTGAAGAGCCGGTCCCTCCCTTCGAATAGATTTGAACTCTATACTATTTTCTCTTTTTTTGTTAAACATGTAATATTTCTTGCCCGGGCATGGGCATTTTGTAAAACTTTATTTAAATATCAATGAAAATCTCCCTTTCTCGTATTGAGTATTGAGTGCTTCTTTAAATGTATGTTTCAACTTTGTGAATGCACCAGAAGACTTTTTGTTTTGAAAATTGATAAGTTTTTTCAACTTTGTGTATGCTGCCGAGTAGATGACTTAGAAACAACCTGGCTGAATCCACCTGGTCTAACACATTCAGCCAATCTTTCTAAAAGATTGGCCTACCGCCCGGGAAGAGATGGACCTGGCCAATCTTTTTCCAGGTGGTTCTGACCCAAGCAAGAATGGTTTGCCATATTTTTTTAAAATCATGGCTTCTTGCCCGGGAACAGATGGACTCAGCCCATCTGCCACATTGGCCTTCTACCCGAGTAGAAGATAAGACTTTGTGTTTTCCTCATTTGACTTGACCAAGCCGGGATGCTCCCCTTTTTTGGTTGCATCATTCGAGACTGTGTCGATACGGATTAACAAATTTTTTTGGATGTTCAATTCGATTGAACATTTAACCAAGCAGATAGGTCTGTAACCATTTCCTGGTCGGTCTTGCGAATCGTCTTTTTAGAAAAAGAACAACTTATATTTATTGAAAAGGTACATATTACAATGCTTATCTATAAAATTTTCGTAAGTGGTGGGAGTTCAAGTGCGAGTCGACGCGTCCGCCTTCCATGGTTTCCTGCTGATAAGTACCCGGACAGATAATCACCCTAATGCGATACGGCCTTTCCCAATTGCGCACAAGCTTAATTGCCCCTCTTGTTTGGCTTACTCGTGTCCCTTCTTCGTAAGGCTTTGTCATGCACCTGGAAATAACGTGAGCCTATTCGGTTATCATGGTATTTCTTCACGGATTGTTGGTACCCGGCCATTCTGACGGCAGCCATGGTTCTCCTTTCTTCCACTAGGTTTAACTCAGCTACATGATCAGCGTCGTTCTAACCGGGTTGATACACAACTTCTCAAAACATTGGGAATTCCGCCTCGATCGGTAGCCGGGCCTCACATCCGTAGGTGAGGACGAACGGTGTTTCTCTAGTGGTCCGTCTGGAAGTCACCCGGTGTGCCCAAATTGTGTGGCGCAATGCTTCCAGCCACTTGCGCCCTTCTTCCCCTAGTCTTTTCTTCAGGCTGTCCACTATTGTCTGCTTAGCATTTTCCACTTGGCCGTTTCCTTAGGGATATGCCACTGAAGCTTTGTTATGCTTTATTCCAAAGCTCCCTAAGTAGGCCGTGAACCGGGGATTGCAAAATTGTGGATCGTTGTCTGTTGCGATCATCTTTGGCACCCCAAACCGGATGATAATATTCTTCCAAATGAACTTCTCACATTGCCGGACGGTTATGGTGGCCATTGCCTCCGCCTCTACCCACTTAGTGCAATAATCTATGGCTACCATAACGAATTTCTTACCACCTTGCGCTACCGGGAATGCTCTGATGATGTCTATTCCAAACCGGGCAAAAGGTATAACGTTTGACGTCGGCTGGTAATATGTGGCCGGCCGGCCCGAGTGTTTGTAAAAAATCTGGCACCTTCTACACTTCTGTACATACATCTCACAGTCTTGGACGATGGTCGGCCAGTAATAGCCGAAAAGAATTATTCTTTAGGCCAGTGTCCGGGACATCTGGTGGGCGGCACAAACAACTTAGTGAACCTCTGCTATCACCGGCTCGGCCTCCGAGTTGGTAAGGCATTGCAAAAAAGGTCCTCCAAAAGCGCGTTTGTATAGGTGGCTGTCCAGAACGTGGAACCGGGGAGCTCGTTATACTACTTTTCTTGCCCATTCGTCATCGTCCGGCCTCTGACCGGTCATCAAACATTCCATGATATCTTTCCTCCAACACTCGTCAGCTTCGATTACTCCGACCGGTGGATTTTGGCTCTCATGGATTACTGTTATGGCCAGCCGCTCAACGCTTGGTTGATTCAGAATCACAATTTTCGCCAACTTCGAAACATGCTCCAGGGAGGATTGCATTAATTTGGAGAGCATATCAGCATCAGTATTTTCTGATTGGGGAATTCAGATCAGAAGGAACTCATCCATTTCCCTAAGAAGAGCTCGTATCAAGTCGCCGAACCGGGAAAGTCATTCTTCTATGACCTCCATCTCCCCTTTAACCTGCCCCATGACGAAACTTGAATCTGAAAGGATATTCATCCTCTTGTTACCGAGCGCCCGGGCCAACCTAAGCCCACCGGCAAGGCCTCGTACTCTACTTCATTGTTTGTGAGCTTAAAGTTAAATACCAATGCATGGTATATCTTTAATCCTTCAGGGGTAGTGAAAACAATCCCAGCCCCACAACCTTTTGGCCTGGAAGCTTTATCTACGGCCATGTCATACCATGGTTCGACCGTTTGGGATGGTCCCGCTGTAGGTTCCAGACAAGTAAGTTCAACAAGGAAGTCGGCAAGGGCTTGACCCTTGATCGCAGTTCGGGGCTTGTAGTCGATCTTGAACTGAGTGAGCATCATCGCCTACTTGATCATCCTCCCCGAAGATGTGGTGTAACACCCCAAACCGTATAACCCGAATACTCGGATCTGCGAACCGGAAGCTACAAATTTGGTAACCAAACACCATTTAACTTTCAAACAATTTAAAACATTTAATTCAAACAATATTTAATTATCCATCGTGTAAATAAAACGGTTGCGAAAGCTTAATTCGTAATTCAAAACACAACTTTGGAATCATGCCCGAAATAGTAATCCAAAGTCGTCGAACACCGCCACGCACATCTCAGCCTCCTCATCGCCCTCCGGGATTGGCTCCAAGCTCATCATTTCCTGGATTACCTACGTGTAGCAAATAGGAAAAGGGTTACACGCTCAGCATTGAAGCTAAGTGAGAAATATCTAACATACGGTTATACCCGTAGATGATCCCACTAGCCCATATCCTCATACGATATCATGCACACAACATGCTCAACATATTCTTACACTATACAGGATATAACATGCATAAAAGGTAATATCATTAATCAAGAAGTACAATTTACAAAATACAATCACAAACTTTTCCTCTTGTTTACTTTACATTCTTTTTGTACTCGGCTCTTAACCTATGCTAGGTTAAAGCTTAACTGTATACGACTTGCCTATGTGAGTCATGACCTTCCCCTTCGGAACGAAGGTCAAGCTCAAACCAACTCGGGAGTTCCTCGTTGGGTGGGTGAGATCCCTGTCCCCTTCGGAACGACAGTTCTTAGATCCCCGTGTACACGTTTTTACCCGGATAGCCATTGGACCCAGCAGGTACCACATGACTCTAACTTACTAACTTATGCCATAGCTTGCCATTATTTCCATTCAGGTCAGTTTTTGGAGTTCGTTCTAGGTATTTCATCCTTTAATTGCCACTAGTTCTTAGCATACATGTTCATGCATCTTACACGTAATTAATCACATCCAATATACTCAATCAGCGGCCTAACCCTGGGTATTGACACTCATGTTTACCGTCATGCAACACACAAAGTCTTAGAATCGATCCTCGATGCAACCAACATATGCAGACCGGTTCAGGTACCTCACGGTACCCTTGGCAGTAGGGGCTACCAGCCCCACGGTACCAGGGTACCGTCCCCACGGTACGGGGGTACCGACCATGTCAGCTAGAGTCCCCTCCGGTAGACTGGCACGGTAGCCTCTACCGGCCAGACGGTAGGGCCTACCGCCCATCCGGCACCTGGGTGCCGTCTTATGACAGGTATCAACAGAGAGAGACGAAACCGGGGAGGCTGGCGGTAGCCAGGTACCGTGTTAACCGTACCCCCCTACCGTCTGTCGCAGCGAACACCAGACTTGCACCAGCTCCGTTTTCGTCCATCAAACAGCATTAGTTCCAGTAAATACAAGCATATACAAGCATAACAGATCATAAACCATCAATCCAACATTATCCAACCATCCCTCAATCATTCTAACCCAAATCATGTTTTTCACATCCTAAACTACATAAACAAGGCATAATTCACGTATAGTCCAAATAGATCAACCGTAACGATTCTACGAATGTAAGATTCAAACCAACGAATATAACCATACGTTAGATGACCACGTACTCACCTCGAATTCAACGATTAAACTACGAGATAGTACTCACGAACAACGGCATCGGATTCTTCCTCTTCGTTCTTCCTTCTCTTCTTCTCTTCTTCCTGCAGTTGTCCTTCTACTCTAGCCCAAATGCACTTTCCGGGCCCACTGACTCCAAATATGAATCCGATTTCACCGTTAGATTCGATCCGTCGAACCCTACACAACGGTATAATCTTTATTGTCAAACGAAGAGTATTCATAATTTCCACTGAGTCCGTCTCAATAACCAATTAATTATTTCTAACTAATTAATTTTGATAGGCCGGGTTTTGGGGCGTTACATTTCTCTCCCCCTTAAAAGATTTTCGTCCTCGAAATTTACCTGAGTCATTGGTCACTAAAGAGTTGAGGATACTGAGCTCTCATGGACTCCTCGGTCTCCCAGGTTGCTTCTTCCACCGCGTGGTTTCCCCAAAGCACCTTGACCAAGGGAACTGTCTTGTTCCTCAGTTCCTTTACTTCACGTGCCAAGATCTGTACGGGTTCTTCCTCATAGGTAAGACTCTCATCGAGGGTGACTGCTCGCTCAGGTAAGACATGTGACGGATCTGATCGATATCTTCTCAACATAGACACATGGAACACATCGTGAATCTTCTGTAATTCTGCAGGTTACTCAAGTCGATAAGCCACTGGTCACACTTGTTCAATGACCCTGTATGGTCCAATGAACCTAGGACTCAGCTTTCCTTTCTTGCCAAACTTCAACACTTTCTTCCACGGAGAAACCTTGAGAAACACCCAATCATCCACATTGTACTCAATTTCCCTATGCTTGAGGTCGGCGTAGGATTTCTGACGATCCGAAGCAACTAGCAATCTATCTTGTATTATGCGGACCTTTTCTTCTGCCTCACGAACCAGGTCGGGTCCTCCCAGCTTAGTTTCACAACAGACTGGAGTTCTACAACGTCGGCCATACAGTGCCTTGTACGGTGCCATCTGAATACTAGCCTGATAACTGTTGTTGTAAGCGAACTCCATCAACGGCACGTATTGTTCCCAACCATCACCGAAATCGATGACACAAGCTCTCATCATGTCTTCCAAAATCTGAATCGTTCTCTCAGACTAACCATCTGTCTGAGGGTGGAATGCTGTGCTGAAATTGAGCTTAGTGCCAAGAGCCTTCTGAAGACTCTTCCAGAACTGTGATGTGAATCGCGGGTCGCGATCTGAGATGATAGACACAGGCACTCCATGCAGTCTCACAATGTCTCGAACATAAAGCTCAGCGAACCTCTGCAAGGAAAAGTCTCGTCGGATAGGGAGGAAGTGAGCTCACTTAGTCAATCCGTCCACTATGACCCATACTGCATCGTTCTTCTTATTTGAAAAGGGTAAGTCTTACACGAAGTCCATCGTGATCCTCTCCCACTTCCACTCAGGAATAACTGGTGGGTGTAGCAACCCACTCGGCACTTGATGCTCTGCCTTGACCTGCTGACAAGTCAGGCACCTAGCCGTAAACTCTGAAATTTCTCGCTTCATCGTCGGCCACCAGTAAGCTTTCTTGCGATCTTGGTACATCTTGTTGCTGCCAGGGTGCATGGTGTACACGGTTTCATGAGCTTCCCGTAGCAGACGTTCTCTCACTTCACCGTTCGGTACCACCAAGTGGTCCCTATAGAGCAACCCTCCACTGCCATCAATGGTGAAGTCTTGTCTCTCCCCCTTAGAGACAAGCTCACGAGTCTTCACACAAAAGTCATCCGTAATCTGGGCCGTGCGGATCTCACTATCCTGCGTCGGCTGAAGTCGTAGTTCAGCCATAGTCTTCCAACTCAAGGCATCAGCCACGACATTGGCCTTACCTGGGTGATAGTCGATATAGCAATCGTAGTCTTTGATCAACTCCAACCATCTCCGTGGTCTCAGATTCATCTCTTTCTGGGTTAGCAAGTACTTCAAACTCTTGTGATTTGTGTGGATGTAGGTAGTCTCACCAAATAAGTAGTGCTGCTAAATCTTCAATGCGAAAACCACCGCTGCTAACTCCAGATCGTGTGTAGGGTAGTTACCCTCGTGAGGTTTCAACTGTCGGGACTCGTAGGCCACAACCTTACCCTCCTGCATAAGAACACATCCAAGTCCACTGTGCGATGCATCACTGAAAACTGTGTAATCCTTGCCAGGCACTGGCTGCACCAGCACCGGTGCCTTGGTCAGACACTTCTTGAGTTTCTCAAAACTTTGCTGACATGCGTCTGTCCATGCAAATTTCACCTCCTTCTTTAGTAACTTATTTAACGGCGATGCTATGGATGAGAATCCTTCCACGAAGCGCCGGTAATAACCAGCTAAGCCGAGGAAGCTCCTCACTTCTCGCGCATTCCTCAGAGTCTTCCACTCCGTTATCGCTGATATTTTGCTAGGGTCAACCTTGATGCCCTCATGGGAGATCACATGCCCAAGGAACGTGACCTCATCAAACCAAAATTCGCACTTTGACAGTTTGGCATAGAGCTTGTGCTCTCTTAGCACACCAAGTACTATCTGCAAGTGTTTCGCGTGCTCCTGTGGTGTCCTAGAATACACCAAGATGTCGTCGATGAATACTACCACAAATTGGTCCAGGTAGGGATGGAAGACACTGTTTATCAAATCCATAAAAATTGCCGGAGGACTCATCAACCCAAATGGCATCACCGTGAATTCGTAATGTCCATAACGCGTCCAAAATGCTGTCTTCGGTATGTCATCTTTCTTCACAGGGATCTGATGGTAACCCGACCGAAGGTCTATTTTCGAGAACACCGTAGCTCCCCTGAGCTGATCAAACAAATCGTCAATCCGTGGTAATGGGTAGCGGTTCCTCACTGTAGCCTTATTCAACTGCCTGTAGTCGATGCACAATCTCATGGATCCATCTTTCTTCTTGACGAAAAGGACTGGCGCTCCCCACGGGGACACACTTGGCCTGATGAATCCCTTGTCCAATAGTTCTTGCAATTGAGCCTTCAGCTCCTTCATCTCCGCGGGTGCAATGCGATATGGTGTTGCAGAAATTGGCTCCGTTCCAAGAACCAGATCAATCGAAAACTCCACTTCCCTTGGCGGTGGCAAGCCAGGGAGATCGTCGGGAAACACATCGGTGAAGTCACATACTGTAGGGATATCCTTCTGCTTGGGGGTCTCCTTTCTGGTATCGCGAACGTGGCACAAGAATGCTTCGCATTTCTTCCGGATCAGCCGCTTTGCTTGCATATAAGACATAAATTCTAGAGGCTTGGGGAACAGCTCCCCCTTAACTTCTACCACATCACCATCGTCAGTCTTCGGTCGTACAGTGCGCAAACCACAGTCGATTATCGCTTGACGCTCGGTCAACCAATCCATACCAAGGATAATATCAAATTTCTTGTATGGTAGCTCAATCAGATTCGCGGACAACCGGTGTTCTTGGGCCATCAGCAGACAGTTGCGGTAAAAGTGATGGAGTCGCATGCTATGCCCTAACGGGTTTGATACTACCATAGGGTATTCCAGATCGCCTCTTTGGATATCAGATTTCTCAGGCATAGGAACACATATGTACGACAACGTAGATCCTGGGTCAATTAATGCAAGCATAGGAGTGTCGAATAATGAAAACATACCCAAGATGACGTCACGATTCACTTCGATACGCCCCTGCATGGCGTAGGTGCGTGCAGGCGTGCGTCCTTGCTGACGGTTCTGATTTTGATTCTGTCCTCTCGGCGGGTTTGAGCCCGCGGTAGACCTCTGACTCTGTGCTAGCCTCTGTCCAGCCCTTATGTCTGCACCTCTGCTATAGGGAAGGCACGTCCGGGGTTAGTTGGGCAGTCCTTGCGGAAGTTTCCTTCCTTCCCGCATCCCAAACATAAGCCCTGCGTGAACCACCATTCACCCCAGAGTGGTTTCTTCCACAGAGGTTGCACACTGGATGCCTGGAAGGTTTGCTTCGATTGCTGGCCGCCTGCGACCGAGCCGGCGCGGACTTGGTCCTCTTGAAGTTTTGGGTACCCTTAGTACCTCCAAAGGATCTCTTCCCGCTCGGCGGCGCGCTGGTACTGGGTCGCTGGCTAGAACCTGCCCCTCCAGCATCCATGCTTGCCTTCAGATCGTCCACGTCTTTCACCGCCTTAGCCATTAGATCATACGCCTTAGAGAAGTCAGTGGTGACCACGGTAGAAACATAAGGTCGCACATTAGGGCGCAACCTCTTCCTAAACTCTTCAATCCTGTCAGCGGGTGTGGACACCAGCGTGGGTGCAAACTGAGCCAAGTGCTTAAACTTCTGTCATAGCTTGGCAAGGGTCATGTCCCCCTGTCGCAGCTCCATGAATTCTGACCGCTTCTCCTCCCGGAAACGAGCTAGGATGTATTCCTTCTTGAAGGCCCAATCAAAATAGGCCCACGTCTAAGGCTTTGCCGTCTGCGGCTCACTGTCAGTGCATTTCCGCCATTCATATGCTCCCTTGCGGAGTAACTGAGATGCCAACTTTGGATGATCTGCAACGGGAACATCCAGATCGTTGAGCAGCCTAGTCACCTGCTCAATCCAATCAAGAGCCACTTGGGGTTCGGCCACCCTGTCCCCAAGGAACTCCTCTGCTCTGTTATCCTTTAGATTTTTGAAGGTGATGTGTCGCTGCGGCGGCTGAGGGTGCTGAAACATTAGCGTGTTGGCCATCTGCTGTAGGAATTGGGTCATGAAATTCTGATTATCTCCCGCGTTCAGTGGCACATTGGGCTGCCTAGCATTCTGCTGAGGCATGAAGCTAGATGCCTCCGTCTCGGCATCGTTGTGGTCGTCACCCAGGTGTTGGGTGTTGTCATGAGCATGCGTCGATGCGTTACTCATTCTAAACTACACACATAAATCCCTAATCAGTCATTAGCATATAACAAACAAAGATATAAACTTATTACCTTCCCGGGGCTGATGAGTCGCAAGAGATGTGGTGCAGCTTTTGGAAACCATCTATTTATGATCCGAAGATCGGTTTTAAAACCATATGCTCTTATACCAAAATGTAACACCCCAAACCGCATAACCCGAATACTCAAATCAGCAAACTGGGTTGCTACTAATTTGGTAACCAAACAGCATTTAACTTTCAAACAATTTAAAACATTTAATTCAAACAATATTTAATTATCCATCGGGTAAATCAATGGTTGCGGAAGCTTAATTCGTAATTCAAAACAGCCCGAAATAGTAATAAGCTATTTAAATAATTAATAAGAGTTCAAAGTCGTCGAACACCGCCACGCACATCTCAGCCTCCTCATCGCCCTCCGGGATTGGCTCCAAGCTCATCATTTCCTAGATTACCTACATGTAGCAAATAGGAAAAAGGGTTACACGCTTAGCATTGAAGCTAGGTGAGAAATATCTAACATACGGTTATACCCGTAGATGATCCCACTAGCCCATATCCTCATACGATATCATGCACACAACATTCTCAACATATTCTTACACTATATAGGATATAACATGCATAAACAGTAATATCATTAATCAAGAAGTACAATTTACAAAGTACAATCACAAACTTTTCCTCTTGTTTACTTTACGTTCTTTTTGTACTCGGCTCTTAACCTATGCTAGGTTAAATCTTAAACTGTATACGACTTGCCTATGGGAGTCATGACCTTCCCCTTCGGAACGAAGGTCAAGCTCAAACCAACTCGGGAGTTCCTCGTTGGGTGGGTGAGATCCCTGTCCCCTTCGGAACGACAGTTCTTAGATCCCCGTGTACACGTTTTTACCCGGACAGCCATTGGACCCAGCAGGTACCACATGACTCTAACTTACTAACTTATGATATAGCTTGCCATTATTTCCATTCAGGTCAGTTCCTGGAGTTCGTTCTAGGTATTTCATCCTTTAATTGCCACTAGTTCTTAGCATACATGTTCATGCATCTTACACGTAATTAATCACATCCAATATACTCAATCAGCGGCCTAACCCTGGGTATTGACACCCATGTTTACCATCATGCAACACACAAAGTCTCGGAATCCATCCTCGACGCAACCAACAGATGCAGACCGGTTCAGGTACCTCACGGTACCCTTGGCGGTAGGGGCTACCGGCCCCACAGTACCAGGGTACCGTCCCCACGGTACGGAAGTACCGACCGTGTCAGCAGGAGTCCCCTCCGGTAAACTGTCACCGTAGCCTCTACCGGCCAGACGGTAGGGCCTACCGCCCATCCGGCACCTGGGTGCCGTCTTATGACAGGTATAGAGAGAGACAAAACCGGGGAGGCTGGCGGTAGCCAGGTACCGTGTTAATGGTACCCCCCTACCGTCTGTCGCAGCGAACACCAGACTTGCACCAGCTCCGTTTTCGTCCATCAAACAACATTAGTTCGAGTAAATACAAGCATAATAGATCATAAACCATCAATCCAACATTATCTAACCATTCCTCAATCATTCTAACCCAAATCATGTTTTTCACATTCTAAACTACATAAACAAGGCATAATTCACCTATAGTCCAAATAGATCAACCGTAACGATTTTACGAACGTAAGATTCAAACCTACGAATATAACTATGCGTTAGATGACTACGTACTCACCTTGAATTCGACGATTAAACTACGAGATAGTACTCACGAACAACGGCGTCGGATTCTTCCTCTTCCTTCTTCCTTCTCTTCTTCTCTTCTTCCTGCGGTTGTGCTTCTGCTCTGGCCCAAACGCACTTTCCGGGCCCACTGATTCCAAATCTGAATCCGATTTCACCGTTAGATTCGATCCGTCGAACCCTACACAACAGTATAATCTTTATTGCCAAACGAAGAGTATTCATAATTTCCACCAAGTCCGTCTCAATAACCAATTAATTATTTCTAATTAATTAATTCTGATAAGCCGGGTTTCGGGGCGTTACATGTGGAACTGCGGAGGACCGGTCCGAGTGGTTGGTCATTCAGAACTTCTACTGCATGGGCCTGGAAGTATGCGGTCAGTTTTTTAGCCGTAATAAAAAGTGCATAGGTTGTCTTCTCAATGGCAGTGTACCAGCTTTCATCCTCGTTTAGTGTTTTGCTCACATAGTAAATAGGCCTCTGGCCACCTTCATTCCTTACCAAAACGGAACTTACAACATTTTGGGATATGCCCTAATACAAATACAGTGTTTCACCCGGTCGGTGAATGGTGATCCCGTCAACAACACCTTCTTCTTTTCCTCCTTGTCTACTCTCCTTTGCAACCTCTCCAATCGAGCTTCTACTTGATCCACACGGTCCTTGGGCTGCTCAACGTTCGTGCGAACCGTGTGCCTGGGGTGACTTTCCACTTCCTCTTCTTCTTAGGGCGCTCAAATGTGCTAGGGCTCATCTTGAGGACGAGGTTCAGAGCGCCTGGTTCAACCAAGTCGTTCGCCTCGTCCTCCCAACCGGTTAAACGCGCTAACCTAAATGGTTTCGACCCCCAGCCGCTCCTTGGCCGGCCGGTTCTGATTCCTTCCCTCATGTACCAACCTTTGGAATGCTGACCGCCTAGATCCTTCTGGTTGGACGGCTTTGCCTTTCAATTTTTTCTGGGCTCTTGGTCTGCCCAGTCCTTGTCCTTGCTATGGACTGACCACATGTCCCCATCGGGCGTGACCTGGGTGTGAGCCCTTCAGGATCGGCTCCTCCTAGATCGAGATGGACTTGCCTTATCCATCTCCCCGACCAGATTCGTCGGGATAACTAACCAGATAACGCTGGTCGGTTGGAATGGTGATGGATGCCTTGTTGCATTTGGAAAAGGTGAAATTTGTGGCAAGGCCTGGGATACATCCCTGGGATAAAAGGGGCAAATCCTCCTGGTTGTTGAAATATGGACATGAATTGTCCAAAGTTTTGGAGTGTCTGGGAGTAAATCGGGTCCATGGGCCCAAGGAAGTTAGGGGGAAAGCCCAGAATAGAGGACATGGGTGCTATTGGAGATGTGAATGGGGAAGGTGTTGGGGTGGTGATTATGGGAGCAAGAATTGGAGCGAAGGTGAAGGTAGAGTACTTCCTCCCGGAAGCAGGGTAACACCCTCCGCCGGGGTGGAGATTTGAGAAATAACCGGTTCTGGGTTGTTTTTCATGGCTTTTGTAAAGAGGTCCCACGGTCGACGCCAATTTGATGGTATAAAACCACGCAAATACTAATTAAGTCTAAATAGACGAAAGGGCTGTAGGTGGGTGCACCTGTAACCCGGTTTGTTATTAATAATACTGGGATTGTTTACAAACTTACAAGCCGTGTGGATTAATTAAAGCATGCCTCCTTAATGAGGCTTTTTCCGTTATTTATAAGAATAACAAACACGTCTCAACATTACTGTTCATTCGGCCGGTCAGTCTTCGACCGGAAAGTTTACATATCTTCAACGGATAAAGCCACTCTTTCAATTTTGAACCCTTTCATATCGGCCCGGTCAGACTACACGGGTTGATCGGGTCTCGAGGGGCCAGACTTAGGTACCTCCCAGGTGGTTGCAATCCTGCCGGGTGGTATCAATGGGTTATACCCATCAGTTATCATTTTGGAAAAATATTGATACTTCCTACATCCCAAAAAACATTTCCTATTTAGTATTCTAGACTTCTGATAGATTTTATTTTTGTATTTGCTTTTTCATTGGTAATTTGATAAAATGAATTGTTATTGTCATAACTTATTGAGTAAATTCCATAAAAGGTCTCCACTTATAGTTCATTTTACATTTTTGGTCCCTACATATCAAATATCAATATTTTAGTCCCCAATTATTATATTGCTTTCCACGAATGGTCTTTTGGTAACTTATCCGTTAAAAACGTAGATAAAATTGTAAATTCACGCTTCTCTCTCCTCAATTAAGCTTCCTCTCTCCTCTCGCACTCATTTCCCAAATCCGTCGCAGAACTTGAAGCTTTGAACTCAAAACCGAAATCATCACTCATCTCCCAATTGTTCGTCTTCTTGGTAGAATCCAAAATAAAAACCAGTAACCTTCATGGATGAGTTTTAAGGTTCGTTTTCTTTGCAATTTTCAGAAACTAACTCATAAAACTCATCCATGAAGGTTATTGGTTTCGATTTTGGGTTTCACCAAGAAGATGAAGAATTGAGAGATGAGTGATTGTTTCGGTTTTGGGTTTAAAGCTTCAAACTCAGGGACGGGTTTGAGAATGATTGAGTACGAGATGAGGGAGAAAGCGTAATTGAAGAGAGAGAAGTGTGAATATACAATTTTATTCATGTTCTTAACGGAAATGTTAACAAAGGACTATTTATGGAAAACAATGTTATAATTGGGGACTAAATTATTAATATTTGATATGTATGGACTAAATATGTAAAACGACCTATAATTGGAGATTTTTTATGGAATTTACTCTAACTTATTTTGTAAATTTTTTTATATCGTTTTTAAAATTGTAAGTTGTATCAATTCGTAAATAATATGAAAAAGACTAAAGTATGAGTAAAAAATTGATAATACACCAAAATAGAAGTTTTATGTTTTAATTACCGAAATATAAGTTAAAATGTATTTGCATTACCACGCAATATCATTTACATTACCAAATATATAGTAAAGTAAAATGCACATGTTTATTGTCACATTATCACAGTGCAAACTCTTTTTTAAGAAATAAAAACATTAAACTCTCATTTTGATATTCTCTCTTTATTCTAGATGGTTTCTTTAAATAACATCATAATATTCGTATTTAGACACGGAGCGTTATTCTAATTATTACCTTTCTTACGGAGTATTACTTTTGGAAAATTCTCCTAAACAATCCGATTATCATCCGTTCTTGACTGTGTGCTGTTTATCTTTAGAAAATTGGAGCTAAAAGCCATATTAGCAGCTCTTTGTATCCCTACCCTAAATTTGGAATGTCATTCGTTTGTCTTTAGTTCTGGCCGTTTGAAAAAGAAAACTATTCAATGAAATATTAGCTTCAAACATTTAGCTTTAGTATTTTGTAAATAATTTGGATATTTTAAAATATAATCTTCACAATTGAAAAAATTATTCAAAATGATATACTAATGATAAGATTTCCCAATGAATAAAAGCCTCTGTTAAATATATTATTACTATATTTAATATTATTGTATATTCATCCTACAGCCTAAAATTAGTAAATGGTATTTTACCTATTGCATAATGTTATACAAATCCGTTTCTTACCAACCACTCCAATCACATTTGGTATATTATACATATTTATCAATATTTTTATTATGTTTAATTACTCCCTCAGTCCGGAAATATTCTTCTCATTTTCCTTTTTGGTCCGTCCGGAAATATTCTTCCCATTTCCTTTTTTAGTATACTTTTTAAGGCTAAATGTCAATAATACCGTTCTATTTTATCACAAATCTACTTTTTTAGTACTTTTTTAATAATAAAAGGAGATTTAAAAGTTTAAAGTATGTGCATTTTTGAAAATTTTGCATTTTTTTACCATTCTTTAATAAGCGTGCCAAGTCAACACGGGAAGAACATTTTCAGACGGAGGGAGTATTATTTTATTGGTTTAACACTTTTACCAATTTAACATAAGCGTTGTTCTTAAATGGGTTCGAATCTGTATTGGCGGATGCACATTGCTTTTAATGGGGCACTTGCCCCTAGTGACTTAAAAAAATTTCTAATAAATACTTTACTTTTGTTTTAAATTTCAAATATGCCCCCACTAAAAAATATTTGGCAATAACATGTCCCCATAAATTTTGCAAAACTCCATGCATTTGTGTAAAAAGAGGGAGTCAAAGCATGTTAAAATGTTTAACTAAAAATTGGTTTGATTAATTATTTATGTATAAATTTCTAAACTTAAAATAATTAATATATTTAATTATAAATTAAGCGTAGTAATTTAAAATATTCATATACTCCCACCGTCCATGTATGATCTTCTCATTACGCGTTACAAAGCTTGACTGACTTTATTTTCAATTCAATTTAATTGATTATAGGAGTAAAATTTTAAAATAAAATTTACTCCCTCCGTCCTAATTCTTTCTTCTCAGTTTGACTTTTCTCCATTTTTAATTTTTGGCTTTGACTTCAAATTTTACTCTCCTTAAAAAAGATTTTTTAAATTTTTTTTTTTACAATCATTCAAAATATAGAGTTAGAAGATAATTGGTGTAAATACATGAGGATATTAATGTCATTTGTCATCTTTTTTTCTAATGAGAAGGTAGTTTTAGGACGGAGAAAAAGGGGAAGTGGGAAGAAAGTTTTAGGACAGAGGGAGTATATATTAATAAACTACATGAAAAGTTCTACAAAACTAGAGGTGACAAGACTATATTATTTTATGAAATGACTAGTAAAATTAAGCAAACAAAGTGAGTAAAGTTTGACCCTCTGAATAGTGTCTGGGAAAATCTATGATGGACAGAGGGAGTAAAATATAATATTATTTTTACCATTTTACACTTTATTTCAAAAAAATGGGAGGAGCAGCCGCCTTGTCCCCAGTCCTCCCATTTTCTGGGTCCCCCACTCAACCTTAATATGTTCGAACAGGAATGATCTCCAATATGTTCGAAAAGCCAAGACTGAAGTCAAATGGTTTTAGGTCAGATCATCTCCAATGATTTTCATTTTAAGTTCCAATCCTACAAAAAAAAAAATGAGACGCCGACCATCTACTTGTGATTTGTTGAGTACTCGTAATTGAACATCTTTTTTTTGTTTTGTTGGGTATATCTAATTGCACCATCCAAATTGCACCCAAAAAAAGGGAAATAAAAGAACACCACAGTCCACACAAGTAGTCTCTTATTTTGGATTCATTACACTTTGGATTTTTGGTTGTGTATTGATGTAAGGAGTATTTTTTTATATATCCAAATTTAGCACTATTAAGATTATAAAAAGTGTATTCTATTCCCTAAAATTGTAATGTTATAATTTCACAGCTAAAATCCACCATTGGTCCTTCAACTTTATCAGTTTGCACGATTGGTCTTTCAAGTTTCAAAAGTCCATACATAGTCCTTCAACTTTATGAGTTCTGCACCATTGGTCCTTCAAGTTTCAAAAGTCCTTCAGGTACACGTCAGCCCTCCATATGAAGTCCTTTTGACAATAAATATTAAAAGTTAAACGAAATACTAGTTTCATATAATACGAGTAAATTCCACCAGGTACGACTACTCCGTATTATATGAAGCTAGTATTCCATTTAGCTTTTGGAGGGCTGACGTATATTTGAAGGACTATTTATGCACTTTTAAAACTTGAAGGACCAATCGTGCATAACTCATAAAGTTGAAGGACTATTTATGGACTTTTAAAACTTGAAGGACCAATCGTGCACAATTGATAAAGTTGAAGGACCAATGGTGGAGTTTAGTCTAATTTCACTCCACGCTAACATAATTTTTACACTCAAGGAATTTGAGACTTGAGAGAATGAGAGCGAAAAGAAAAGAAAATGAGAAAAAAAACATTTTTCTTCTTTGGTGAGAGAAGAAAAGAAAAGAAAAGTGTAAGAAAAAGCAAATAAGAAGGCAAAATGCACTCAGAAGAAGAAAAGCCAAATTTTTCCCATTTTGGTGACGAAAATGAGAGGAAATCATTTTGTTTCTTTTACTACCAAATTCCTTGAACCAAACATAGTGTTAATATTCAACTCTAGTTTCACTCATCTTATGTTATAATTGTAGTGTTAAACAACATTTTACATTTGTCTAAAGCACTATAAATCTTCAATATATCCTATATATATATATGTAAAAGAGGGTTTCAAAGTTGTGGTGACGACATGTGTCATGCCACACGTGCATACTAATGACACGTGTCACGCCACGCGTATATCACATGACACATGTACGTCCATCCATGCATGTGAGTTAATTTTGTATTAAATAATCCGTATTTTTATTTTTTATAAACTCTTCACTTTCCAACAATAAAAAACTATTATTTTTATTAATTTTTTATAAACTCTTCACTTTCTGACTATGTTAAAACTAATTTATTTTTTTGACGTATCTTAAAAATATGCACGATTATTTTATAATTTCAAAAAATTTATGTATATAATTTATTGATTAAAAAGATGTTGCTTATAATTTTTAAAATTATCCATCATATCAAAAAAACTAATTACATATAAATTTTATCACACGTGCATCTTTATTAAATTCATAACATATTTTAGTTGTTTTTCTTATTACATTACTTATTTTATTATATTTTTTTCAGCAAACTAAACAAAGTAAAAGTTTAATTGAAGGATTACATGTGGCACATACAAATATGCATTATCTAATGATGTGTCATTCCTTAATTGATCTATTTGAGATTTTTTTTAATTTTTATTAATTAAAACAATTTTCATT